AGAATGAAACCGGACCACATTCTCACACCATACACAAAAATAAACTCAAAATGGATTAAAGACCTAAATGTGAGACCTGAAACCATAAAAACCCTTGAGGGGAGCACAGGCAGTAACGTCTCTGACATCGGCTGTACCAACATTTTCTCTCCCGAGGCAAGAGAAATAAAAAAATAAACCATCTGGGACTCATCAAAATAAAGTTTCTGCACAGCAAAGGAAACAATCGACAAAACTGAAAGGCAAACTGGAATGGTAGAAGATACTTGCAAATCCAATAAAGGGTTAATATCCAAAATAAATAAAGAACTGATACAACTCAACACCCAAAGAACAAATAACCCAATCAAAAAATGGGCAGAAGACACGGATAGACATTTCACCAAAGACATCCAGATGGCCATCAGACACCTGAAAAGATGCTCATCATCACTCATCATGAGGGAAATGCGCACCAAAACTACAATGGGAGATCACCTCATTCCTGTCAGAATGGCTAAATTCGACATTCGACAACCCAAGACACAACAGCTATTGGTGAGGATGTGGAGAAAGGGGAACTTTCTTCCACTGTTGGCTGGAATGCAAACTGGTACAGCCACTGTGGAAAATATTATCAAGATTCCTCCGAGTGGAAACCAGCATGGAGGTTCCTCAAAATATTGAAAATAGAACCGCCCTATGATCCAGCAACTACACTACTGGGTATTTGCCCAAAATATACAAAAACGCTAATTCAAAGGGATACATGCACCCCTATGTTTATGGCAGCATTATTTTCAACAGTCAGACTACAGAGGCAACCCAAGTGCCCATAAACAGATAAATGGATCAAGAAGATGTGGTGTACCCTTCTTAAGATGAACACAGGGTGTTATACGTAAGCGATGAATCATGGAAATATACCCTCAAAACCGAGAGCACACCGTACATGCTGTATGTTAGCCAATTTGACAATAAGTGACATTAAAAAAAAAGATATGGTGTATATATACAATGAAACATTATTCAGCCATGAAAAAATGAGATACTCCCATCTGCAACAATATCAAGAGCAGTGCTAAGTGAAATAAGTCAGAGAAAGACAAATACCATAGGACTTCACTCATATGTGGAGTTTAAGAAACTAATGAGCAAAAGATAAAAAAGAGAGAGAGAGAGAGAGAGAGAAACAAACCAAAAAACAGACTCTCAACTATAGAGAACAAACTGATGGTTCCCAAAGGGGAGGCAGGTGGGGGTAGGCAGGAATAGGGGTGTAGGGATTAAATAGTATACTTATGATGAAAAAAACAAAACATTAAACACAGCAACACCACCACTGGGCTCCACTTGACAAAACAAACCATTCAAAACTAAAAAACATATGTATATCTACGGTAAGCAATAAGAGCAAATACATATTCTGCTCACGAAATACGAAATACTTCATAGGTATTTTCATACACTAGCTTTGTGATTAACAGCCGCTTCTCAAAATGTGCTGTTTTCCTTGAAGCTCCTTCTTGTGGTGACTGTCTGGGACCAGCTCTGTCTGCCCTGCCAGCATATTAGCGTGGGACCACAAAGCAGCTCTGTATGACCACCAGAGCTGGGCACTGCTTAACCCCAGGGGGTGTCGGGACATCCTTCACAAAGACAAAGATACCAAGAGGATCCCAGGAGCTGGGTAACATTTAGCCCTGTGAGCTTAGGTTTCTGGAACGCAGCCAGGCTTGCTCGTCAGGCTGGCCCCACAGCCTCTCAACAGGAGCTACTGACCTTGAAGGGATCCTCTTGCTCTAGGCCTGAACCCTTTCTCACCTCCCGAGCTCATACCCACGTCAGGCCTTCTGCTGTGCCTGGCGACTGGAATCTGAGCTGCCCTTCCTCTGCCAAGGGCACCAAGGCTACGGACTGCTGTTCAATTCCAGCTTGTCCCTCAATCTCGTCACCGTGGCCGCGTGCACCCTTCCCAGCATCTCCCTGTTAATTTCTGCCTTTGGAAAGCTACTCCCTCTCCAGACCTGACGCCCTCCAACCCCAGGTAAGTAACTCCCCTTCACCTTCTCACGGCAGCATTAAGAATTTCATTTCACTACTACAGCATGCATATCATAAAAAGCACCTAGAACAGGGCCAGCTAATACAGCATCAGGTTCCCTGCTAAATAATTTGTTAAACAAAAAAGAAGAGGCCTTTTGTTGTTTTTCATAGGAGAAAACAAACTCTACATCAAAACTCATCAATGTGTTTAATAAACAATGTGTTTAACTTCTTCCAGTCAATTTCTCTCCCTAAAATGAGGCTACAAGACCTTGGCAGGGAGAGGACGGGTTTCGGGGAACCGTGGAAAGTTTCAGGGAACCGTTACTGCCCTGTTAGCTGAACTCGGGTTTAGCGCTCAAACGTGGCCGCAGCCCTAACTGAAGAAAGGGGGGTATTAGTACAAGCAAACATGAAAACTGAATGCGTGCGAGCACCCGAAGAGCTCCCGAACCCCAGCAGCCCATCTCAGACACAGATGAACAGCCGGCTCCACACCCCCTGCAGGTCTATGCAGTCGCATGCACGTTGGCGTGGCTTTGCTGGAGCTGTCTTGCCGCAGTTGAAAGCATTAGTTACAGTTTATCTTTTCTTCTCCAGGATTAACATTCTCAAAGAAATTATGTTTTTGTTCTCACTACAGGTTGCACAGTTTGTTGCTAGTGGGTAACTTCCTGGTTTTATAACACATTTAACTTCTCGGGGATTTTTTTTTTCATCTAGCTTCTTTAAAACAAAGTCTGAAAAGTATGCTTTCCGCATTTACTATACGGTTTCTTTAAAGACGTTTTTGGAAGAACGCCAAAATAAAAACGGGCTTCTTAAACTCAGCTCGGCAGAAACGTTTTCTCCACCTTGCATGGCGCCAGTTTTAAGCTCCCCTGCTTGGTCGTTTTAACCCAAATCACCCTACTTTTGGTTTAAGTCATCACTGCTTTATTTTGACAGGATCTATAAAGACGCTTCCCACCTTGCCCTTGCCCCCTTGCTATCTGTTCCAGTCCAATAGCCTGCTATCAACCCAGTCACTGCGGTTTTTATGATCCTCAAAGATTTTCTTCTTTTACAGGCCAAGCCTCAGGAGCATACATACCAGATCAGCTGATCGTTATAGAGGAAGGCGGTGTATTTGACTATACTCAGGCTTTCCTCCATTCTATTAATAAAGGATTGGATTTTCAAATAAGTCATTTTATCCAAGGGGAAGAAGCTGATTCCACCAAAAATGTCGAGGAGATCACATGACTGCAAATGCAACGTTTGCAAGTACTGTAGGAAAAAAAAAAGGCGTCAAACTTAGAGTACACGGAATAGAGCACTGACAGTTCAGGGTAATTAGTCAATTTATGATACGATTACATACTACTGCGCCGAGAAGACCAGTAAGGGGGTGAGCCACAGCTAACTAGATGTGCAGTCAGTACCAATTTCACGACATTAAGCTCAAACATAACTAGTTAATGTTTGTTCAGGATTGTGTCTTGTCTCTTTGAAGCGCTAACTCCTTACGCTAGCGCTCCTCAAGTTATATCAACCTTATTAGGGATGTCAACAGTGACGTCGCGGACAGACACTGCCACCTCCTACCAAAATAACGTTGAAAGGACAGGTAGTCAGTTGTTGATGGACAGGAGGGTAAAGAAGGCAAGAACAGGAATCAGGAGGCAGCAGGAGGGTAAATAATTATGGTCAGTAAAGTGAAGAAACAGGGGTGCCTGGGTGGCTCAGTCGATTAAGCAGCTGACTTCGGCTTAGGTCATGATCTTATGGTCCGGGAGTTCAAGCCCGGCGTCGGGCTGTGTCCTGGCAGCTCAGAGCCTGGAGCCTGCTTCAGACTCTGTGTCTCCCTCTCTCTGCCCCTCCCCTGCTCACACGCGCGCGCTCTCTCTCTCTAAAATAAACAAATGTAAAAAAAGAAAAAAAAAAAAAACAGATCAAAGATAATTTAGGGAAAAAAACTGAGAATTATTCCACTAAAATAAACTGATTTTTACCAGAGGTAGAGTATATAAAATGTAACTTACCGTAAAACAGAGTGGCAACTAGGGACACTCATTCATCATTTGGGAGGGAAAAAATCACATTAAAAACCACTATTGGGGGGGGCGCCTGGGTGGCTCAGTTGGTTAAGCATCTGGCTCTTGTTTTTGGCTCAGGTCACGATCTCACGGTTCATGCGTTCAAGCCCCACACGGCACTCTGTGCTGACAGTGCAGAGCCTGCTTGGGTTTCGCTTTCTCCCTCTCTGTCCCTCCCCGCCTCATGCTCTCTCTGAAAATTAATAAACTTAAAAAAAAAAAAAAAACCACTAATGGGATAAAGTCTGTGTCATAGCCAAAAATTTTACCTTGAGTCAACACAGATTACTACTCACTAAACAGAGTATTGTTTCATCAATCCATAAGAATGTACAACTCAGGCAAAGAGTTTAAATTCTGCTAATTAACCAATCACCATGCAGTAAGCCCACACTGGCCAACCCAGGCAGAGCAAGGATGAAGTCACAGGGTGTCTCCAGGATGCTGTGGGGGTGCACACAAATGGCAGGATGCTCTGATCCCGCACAGAGCTGACAGAGAGATTCAAGAGTGCACATCTAAAAAGTTTCCTCACTGGTCTGGTTTTGCCACTAAAGATCTTAGGCTCTCTGCCACTTTCAAGTCCTAAGTTTTTTTTGTCAATGAGTAATGAACTTATGTATGTGTATTTCTAAGGGTCTGTTTGAAGACTACTAAGATTATAAATAAAATTCCAAGTACTTACCCGATGGAAGAATTTCTCTAATCTTTCTTTTAGGAGCTTGACACCTCCATCTTCCATGGCCCTCAGAAAAGTACCATTAAAAAGCTAATGATGTAAAAGATTTTTTAAAAAGTCAATTTCTTATGCCCTTCAATTTCCCAAGATAACAAATTCTTCTTTTCCTTTTACGTTGACTAATTCGGCTTATTTAATCCCCCCCCCCCATCCCGTTCTTTTTAAAAGGGGAAAACATGTACAGGAGAAAGCCTGAGTTATAAAATAAATCACAAAAAATCAACACACTATTAAGTGATATCATTTCCATGTTATCACCTAATCATTTAGGACATTTTTTTTTTTAACCTCAACTCATACTTAAGTTTCATTTATATAAATTCTATCACCAGAATGTCTCTTCCTCAAGAACATGGAGTTTCTTGTTTACCAATGGGGACACATTGCTAGTACAAGGCTGGGAATAAAGAAAGACGGACTACTCAATGAATAAGTATATACATAAACCTCAACCCTGTTTCAAAGGCCCCATTGTTTCCTCCCCTAAAACAGATACATAGGCACCAGGCAGTCATCTAAAGAATTAAGATTTTTAAACAATCCCTGGAAACAGGTAACTGGCTAGACTCCATTCAGAAAGAGCATCATGCTTACCTTGTACATGCTGTAGCACTGTTGTAGTACTGAACTATAAACCTTGTCCTGCAAACAAAGACATAGATGTCAATTTTAGGGGAAAAAAAGTCCGCTGTATAACAAATGTACAAAGACTCTTGGCAAAGCAATATAATGCTTACAGACTCAGTCCCACAACAGTTGTGTGCTGAAAATAAAAGGTATTTGAATTCAGTTATGAAGCAGTAATTTTAGGAGGGCCTTGAACATATGACTAGGAGGCACTGGTGAGACGGGATGTACATTTTTATAAAATTGTGCTAACGTAAGCGATAAACATAAAGCTTCACTATGCGTATCCTGAGAAGCTTCCATAAAAGTGACCCGGCTTAAATCTGACCAAGTCACTCAATATATTCAGTAACAAACTTTCAAAAAATAAGAAATAAAAAAGGACACGTTACCAGCAACTCCTCCTCTTGATATTCAACAATTGGTTTCCCATCTTTACTTTGCTTTTCAATGATAGGATTCCGAACAACCTATGCAATTTTGATAAAACGAAGTTACACAATGAACCAATCATATACATTTTTAATCTTCCCTTAAGTTAAAAAATTTGAGCAGGTCACAACACCAGAAACACACCTTCCGAAAACAGCCCCAAGAACAAATACACTGAATAGAAGTCTGACCTTAAAACGGCAACCCACCCTACTGTAATCCTACTTTGCAGCAGCAGCTAGAGGACTTTCCTCAAGTCCTAAGAGCAAAGCAAAGATCACCCATAACTTCACCGCACAAATTCAAAGAGATCAAAGAGATATACTGTGTATGTAAATACCATGACCATCCAGAAATTTTCTTCGGGCTCATTGAAGAACTGTCTGTTCTTCTGCGTATGTAAAGATTTTGCAGGTTTTGATGGACTAAAGGTCCTAAAAAGAGTAATAAAAAAAGGATAATTGGGCACAGTTCTCCAAGTCGTAGAAGTTGTAAGAACTCGCTAAGCTCTGCAAAAGCACTTTAAAAGGTATTACCTGGTAAACTGTACAATAGCTTCACATAATCCGACGTTTCTAATTTTTTCATTCTTTTCTACTTCGTTTGGGTAATAAAACAAAATTTTATTTTCCTCCTAAAGTATGAAGAGACAGAATCGCCACATTAGTATCAGCATTTTTTCCCATCTCAGCTGTTGAAAAAGCGGTTCAAAGTCAACGTCTGACGTCACACGTGCTAACAAAAAACCAAAACAAAAACCCTTTTCAGTGAATCCAGAATTATCTTTTCCTCACTATGTAAATAACGCTCATGAGCCTGGAAGGCAATTGTGATAATCAGTAAGTCACATGTCATCTGAAGGAGCACTCAGGCAATTATTCTGAAAACTCGATCTTACGGTTTCTTGCCTCCTGCTCATTTGTAAACCAACGATTGTAAGAAATGAGCGTGTGCGCACGTGCGCAGACGTACGCCTCCAGGCGAGTCAAACTCAGCAGGTTCACGGGCACTGAGACTGACAGCCTTTAAAGCTACCGTGATTTTGCTGCCAGCGGAACCGGACATCCTTGGAGGAAGTCACCATCCCCACCTGTAAAATAAACAAAACCCACCCCTGGAATTTAAGTATCAATTCGGAAAAGAACTTTCCAAGGGCCCTCCAAGCCTGCGTTATTTTCGGGTTTACAAGTCCACCACTCTCGATCCACGCTTCGGGGGGGGGGG